TAAGGCAGATAACTTCGGCGCCATCTTTTCAAACAACATCTCTGGGATTCTCGGTCTTGCCTTCGATCAAGGTTCAGACGTCAACGTCCAAACATTACTCAACTTCGGAAAGGGTACCACCCAGGGACGCACTTTCCTGAGCAATGTTTTCAACCAAGACAAGAACGCTCCCAATTTCTTTACCGTTCTCCTTGGGAGAACCGACGATCCCTCTAGCGATGAAGAGGGTATCTTCACCATCAGCGAGTACAACGATGGATTCGAGGATATTGAAGATCAACCCAAACTCCTCCGTACTCCAGCACAGCTCGGAGATACCCTTCCTCGCTGGTCTATTCAAATGGATGGTCTCTCTATCAATGGAGAAGACTTCGAGTTCGAGGAATCATCGGTTCCAGAATCTGAGGATGGTTCCCCAGTTGTTGTTCTTGACACTGGTTTCACCTTCTCCCAGATTCCCCAAGCCGCTGTTGACGCCATCTACCAGAGCATTGACGGTAGTGTGTTCAACGAGACAACTGGTCTCTACGACGTTCCTTGTACTTCAACTGCTGATATCGAGTTCTCGTTCGGGTAAGTGGAAAATGCTCCATTCGTTGTTTGTTCATTGCTGACTTTTGGAAACGTAGTGGTCAATCTTACCCCATCCATCCTTTGGATTTGACTGTCGTTAAGAATGTCGATGGACGCATCGTGTGCCAAAACACCTTCCGTCCCATTAAGCTCCCTCCTGGTACTTCTGCAGGTTTTGACATGATCTTGGGTGTTAACTTCCTCAAGAATGTTTACGCTTCGTACGTTTGACACTATTGCAGTCATTGTTAATACAAAATCTGATCTGTCATTTCAGATTCGACTTCGGCGACTGGACCCCTAGCGAGAAGGACAATGGTGTTCCTTACATTCAACTTCTGTCTGTCACCGACTCTGAAAAGGCCATCAACGATTTCATCAATGTTCGCCCTGGTCAGCTTCAAGCTGCTGCTAACCCTGGGGAACAGACTGCTGCTCCTACCGGTAAGGCTTGCTCATGCCAAGGTCATTCTGGCAAGCACTCACCAAGTGCCACAGGTATTCTCAGTGGTCAGAAACATGGATCTGGCAAGGTCGGTGGTTCCACCGACCCCTCTGCTGCCATTCCTTCTGCGCCAACTTCTGTTGCCGCCGGTGGTGTTGCCACTGCTTCTGATGCGTCGACCGCTACCCCTCCAGTAGCGCTCCCCGGTGGTCCAGAGCCTGCTGCTGCCTCCGCTGTTACTGGCACTGCTACACCTGCTTTCACTATCCCTGGTACACCTCTCGGTGTCACCTCGGTCGGTGCCGTTCCCACAGGATCTCCTGCCTCCGCACCCACGGGAACTGAAGTATCACTCCCTGGAACTCCACTCAGTGTGTCTGTAGAAGTGAACCCAGCTGCTTCATCAAGTTCCCCTGCTACCCCACCGACCGGTACTGGTGCGGCCATCGCAACTCCTTCTGGTACTCCTTCTGCACCTACAGAATCCTCTGCCGCTGTCCCCACCGCTGCTACCCTATCTTCCGTTGAAGCCTCGTCAACTCCTGCAGTAGCTGCTCCCCCTGTCGCCTTGACTGGTGCTCCATCAGTTGCTGCTCCTTCAGGCTCTACCCCTACTGAGATTGCTTCAGGTTCTGCAGGTGTTCCTGCCGCACTACCTTCGAGTTCAGGATCTTCTGCTGTCGGACCAACTGATGCTGCGTCCACTAGCACACCTGCCGCAGCTTCAGCCGGTGTTCCTTCTGCTGTTGTCTCTACACCCACTGATACAGCAACTCCATCGGGAGCATCACCCACGGTATCCGACGCTTCGGCCGCAACCAGTGCAGGAACTGCTGCACCCACTAGCGATGCGACAGCTTCCCCTTCTGCTCCCACATCTGCCGGAACTGAATCACCCACTTCATCTGGAGCTGCCCCTACTTCAACTGATTCTTCTACTCCCGCTGTTGCTGCAGTTGCTCCTACCGATGCTACTGCTGCTTCTTCAGCTGCATCAAGTGCACCTACAGAGTCCGCTGCAGTTGCTGGATCATTGTCGACACCGGATTCATCTTCATCTTCTGGTTACCCAGCAGCTCCTATCGCCGGTCAGACTCAGAACGTTGGCAAACGTAGTGTCATGTTCTTGAAGCCAGTTCATCGTTTCCCCATCTTCCCTCGTCCTGTCCACCGATGTGCTACTGCCGTCCTTGCATCCTATGGTCCTGCCATTCTCGCTATTCTCTCCGGAATCTTGTTCCTTTCTCTTGTTTCTACCATTGTCGGTATCATCATTGTTGTCCGAATTTGGTCGAGGAACAGGGCTTCGTCAGAGGCTGAATATGAAGAACTGGTTCAAGATGGAAATGGTGCGATTTTCATCAAGGATGAAGAGGAAGAGGTTTATCGCGCGTAGAAGAGCGATCTTTCTTTTCTACAGTAAAACAATCTTAAACGGAAACGATACCACTACACCACGATACCCTGGCATACAACATATGATCGAAGCTCCGCTTCCCCTCCCGTGCAACCTTCATCACTTCCCTTTCCCAAAAGTCATTCTGACCAAATGACTTAATGTGACGACGATGCGACTTTCACGACACCTTTTAATGACCCTCGACATATCACGATCTTTTCATGACAACAGTTTTGCGATTTCTTTTCCTTGGTCACTGGTGGATCGGAAAGATTTTGCATTTTTACAACCTTTTCTTTCTTTACTTTAGGTACACACGCTCATTTGATGTTTACTTAACCTTTTAATTTCATTTGGCGTTCATGATGACTGAAAATATCAACGTCTTTGGTGTGATTGTGTGGTTAGTTGGAATACGCAGGTAGGGACTAGCCATCGCAAGAAGTTGATTCCACCTTTCAACTGGCTCGAGTGACTAATGCTCTACCTTTCTGCCTCAACGGAAGCTATGTATTGAAAAGCATGTCGTGTTTCACCCAATAAAGCTGGTGAACGAATTCCAACATTTCACAGTGCTGAAGTAGACGATGAAGCTTAGACTTCATGGTCTTATAACTATTTAATAGCACCTTCGAAAGCCTGACGATGGAACGGAATTCTATATTATACATGTCCAGTAGTTGTCGAGATATTACAGTAATCATGATATTATACAGGGCTGCAGCCTGCATGTCATGATCGTGATGAACGTCGTGTAAATTCGTGCTTTCTCAACTGGTTGAGATGAGGAACTGTGCATAATTCATGAACAACCAAAACTATCTTCAACCGCACATGCTCCGAGGTGCCACCGCCAAGCAACCTAAAAGAAAAACAAACTCCTCCAATTCCATTTCTTCGACTTTGACTTTATCGGTTTCCTCTTCCCTTCTCTAGGACCTCCTTCCGAGCCTTCGCCACCTCCATTCCCACTCCTCGCACTCGTCCTCTTAATCTTCTTCTTCCCCCCTGCTCCTGCTCCTCTCTTCAATGAGTACCGACCGTTCTTGTTTTGATGAGTAGCCGAAGAATGAGAATGTTGATAGGATTCAACCAACAAAGCCTTGATTTCTTCCAAATCTTCAAATACGATGTCAGTTGTTTTAATGGACGAAACTGTTGCAGGATTCGTTTCCGATTCCGTCCCTGAGGTTGAATCACTGGAGGAGGAGGAGCTCGTAGAAGAAGAGAATCTTGACTTGGGTAGAGATGGTGGAAGAGGAGGAGCGTGAGGGGGCGAAAAGATATTAATCGACCTTGACTCCGGCCTTAGTCTTGTTCTTGTTTCGTCGGCCAACTTCTCGATGAGAATCCATTCTCCACCATTTACACTTGATTCCTTCCCCAATTCCGACTTGGAGTATGACAATGACAAGGAACGATCTGTAATGGACTCCATGGTAGGAAGAGTTAAGAGAATGTAAGGAACAGATAAATATATGGCCGATTGTTCTCTCTTGTTATATCCATATGCTCCTTGCATGTCGGATTCTTCTCCATGATAATCATGTCTGAAAATAGTTCGATTCGAAGAAAGGAGGTCGGGAATACGATCATACGAGGGAGGAACGCAGAGAAGAGAAGAAGACGAGGAAGTGATTGTCCGCATATTGGAAGGCACAGGAAACAAAGAAGATGAAGACGAAGTGGTCGAACGCAATTCTTTGATCTCGTCTGCTAGGTTTTCCAGCTCTTGTATCATAAGCTGAACACTATCTTGGGAATCATCTGATGAGAGGGTAGAGATGGTTGTATTGTTACATGGTGAAAGAGGAGCAGCTTGAGATGATAGAAGTAGCGAAGTATCGTCTGATGAGATGAGGTTGACCGTGAGTGGGGGTTGACAAGTATAATTGTGAGGCTTGAACATGTTGAGAAGGCTGACAGTGGTGGAGGGGGTAAGAAAGAGGGGAGGGATGTTGAGACCGGGACACAGATAGATAGTCAACCTCCATGTTGACGTTTCGATCGAGACCAGGATGTTCATTCGTGTATCAACAAAGCGAGACAAGTCGCAAATACGACAAGTGCTAAAGCAGCCATGACGAGCATGTGTGGTCTACAAGAAAAGATCAAGTAAATAGGGATATTTAAACCAGAAATCATGCCTACTTTGAAGTAACGAGGAAGGCTCTATTATCCCGAATATCCTGACATCCTCTGTAGTACTCCCACATCCCAACCACGATAGCAGTTACTGAAGATCCTACTAGGATGGATGCAAGTGGTATATCACCTTTCCACTTTTCAGTTGAGCCATTTGTAGGGGACGAAGAGTCTGGAGAGGGTAATCTGGCGTGGAGGAGTATGGAACCAGCAAGCATGCTGAGAATCATGGCGAATCTCAGGTGAGTAAGGAGATTGCGCTCAAACATTGGATAGTCACGGGCATTGCTGCCTTCTATCTTCACTAACCAACCCATCGTTGTGAATGTTGGTGGTAGAAGTTCATACGAAGGCCCTGGGGACGACAATGCGCCCATTTGAAGCTGACTTAGATGTAGTCCATGATTATTCTGTATAATGTCAGATAAGATTAGTTATGGGCATTTGGCACAGTGGTAGCGCGCTTGCTTTGCATACATATTGGTGCTTGCACGAGGTCCAGGGTTCAATCCCCTGAATGTCCAATTTTTTTTTCCCTCTGTACTCATTCTCCTTATAAGTTTTTCATTTGCTCGACCTTAAAAAACCGCATATATTCATAGTTGATGTACGAAAGAGGTTCTGACCAGAAGAATTGAAAGCCCGCTAAAATTGTGTTTTGAAAGCAATATTAGCCTTACAAGAAAAAGATATAGCAATCTGATCGACAGAACGTGTAGATTTGACAGAAACAACGACAAAGCATAGCGACGAAAAATTTTGAGACTTGAGTGGGTATATAGATATAATTAGAGTGGAAACCCTAAGATGTTTGAGAGTTCATTTGACGGGGAGGGGGTGTCGCAGGAGGAGAAGGTTTGAAGGTATCGGAAGGTAGAGGGGAAGGGAAGGAGACATCATAAGATAAGACGAAAGGTATCGCAAAGGTCCAGGACCAAGAAAAATCATAACAGAGGAACCGAATCCGGCATCTCACTCATTTCCAGCACCGATCAAAACAAACTCTCTTCTACCGTTCCTCTCACTACCTCTCGAAACCTTTCTCAAATTCACCATCATATCTTTCCCAAATGGTGAAAGTTCAGATGAACTTGCAGGGGAAGGTGGAGGAATCACTTGAGCATGGTGATTATCCCGACGAGTTTCGAAGACCATTCTTTGAATAGAGGTTGATTTCAAAGGAGTTTGAGCCTGAGTCTGCGTTAGAACCATCTTCGACGAGGTCGAAGCGGTAGGAGTAGCACTGTTCTCCTTATCCCACTTCTTCGAGGGAATCCTTGTCTCATGTACGACAATCGAAGAAGAAGAGCTGACATTCCTTCCATGGCTAGCCACCCTTTGCTGAGTTTGATATGGTTTTCCAGTTGACGATGAAGCAGACCCAATTCTCCTGTGACGAGGCTTGATGCTAGTAAATGTATCATCCTTCTCATTCTCGTCAACTGAAGCGTGAGCTCTAGGTCCTCTCCCGAGATTTCTCATACCGGAAGTCTTGGATGCCCTAGGATAGACGAAAGCTTTTAGCTGTTCTCTCTCGTCTGCGTCATGGGATGAAGAAGATGATCCGGTTGTATGAACACCAACACCCCTAGGTCCCCTAGGGCCACCTACACGCGGGATCTTCGTCTTGGGACCTCTGGGGCCATCGGTGTCGGAAGTAGGGGTGGGAAGCATATCGTTGACTTCGTCGACAAACGAAAAGCGCTTAGAAGTCCTAGACGTTGGCAGGGCAGTCATGGTGGGAGTCGTAGTCGTAGTTGAGGGAGTAGGGAGTGAAGAAATCTGAGGAGAAAGAGGATTGACAACCTTTGTCAAGGTCTGCAAGGTAGCCGTATGAATCTGCGCATTGGCAACAGCTCCTGAACCCGAAGAACATGACGAGATAGGACTCTCATCATTACCAGTACCATTGACAGTGAGCCTATCAGGTGACTCCGACGAACCGTGTTGAGTTGAGGACGGTGTGGAGAATGCGGATACCAAACCATGTTGAGACGAAGGGCTTGTGACGGGTAAAGAAGGTAACGCTCTCTCTCTATTTTCACTCCCTTTAGCTTCCCTCAAGCTCTTTCTTCTCTCAGTCAAGAATCCAAAAGCTTGAGCCGCAGGTGTACGTTGAGGAGTTTTCGGAAGTGCCGAAGCGATGTTAGAGTCAGGGTAAGGATACGTGGCGTCCGATCCGTCATTTGAAACTTCGCTACTGACTTCAACTTTGGTTGAAGAGAAGGATGGATCATTGGAGGTAGAATCAGAAGTTGCAGATAAGTCTGAGATGATGGTAGTGTTGTCGAAGTGATCATCCTTGGGAGTTTCAATTTCGACAGACTCGATTGAGGAGAGAGAACTGGAATGGTGGGCAAGTTCACTGCAATCGTAACCAATCATCGTGAATAAGCTATTCGACAATATGGATAAGTTGAAAAACACGTACCCAAGCAGATGTTCAGCCCAAGAGATATCCCCCATCATACTCATGCTTCTAGCATGGTTCGGGTCCGCAAGGTTGTTATCACCCGTCATAAGTTCACGTAATGTAGAACCACCACGTCTCTTCTGTTCTCTCCCTTCATCCTCAACGACCGTCATCTTTGCGGAATGAGCGGGAGCGGCAGGTGTAGGAGGCGTGTTCGAAAAAGCATTCGAGTTGATACGTCCCTTGTCATCGTACATATTGAGCAGACTGACGACAGAAGGATCTTGTCGAAGTCGAAGAATTCTACTTTGATCGCGAGGGGTGAATGGGACTGAGCGAGGGTTGAACCGAGGAATGTTGGATTTCATGGTGGTCGGGCGAATCGGGGTGTCATCTGCATCCTCTTCATCGCTATCATGTTCTTCGGGTCTGTTGTCATGGTGATTTAACTTGGTGACCTTGGATTTCGATTGAAGAGGAGTTGGACTCGGGGGATCCACCGGAATGGGAGGATTTGCGTTGGGAAATTCTGTGCGAGAGTGTGTCTGACGTTCATGAACCGTAACCGTATATGTTCCTCTGCGTTGTAAACCGGTGCCAGAATCAACCGTTAGAGTTGATTTCGAAGGAGTTGGAACTGGGGTGTTGATGACGCTGTTGATTGGATGGGCTGGTGAAGAGAGGGACAAGAATATGAATAAAATGAAAACAATCGAAAAAGGCAGGTACTTACGAAGGGGAGGTAAAGAAGAGTAGTCTATCTCGGAGACCACTGAGAAGTGAGCTGACGAGGAACGCAAGAGACGAGATTCCTCTTTCTTTGGATCCTGTGCAGGGAGGTTCTTGGGGTCGATTAAACGACCTGACGCGTCTACTTGAAAAGGTTCAGTATCGTGGTTACGATGTTTGTTTCTTTTGGATCTTTTGCTTCCCAAAGAAAAGAAACGTTTGAGAAAACCCATGGCTGTGAGATTGTTGCGTTGTAAAAGCGCTAAGGTAAGTAGGAGTTCGTTTCGTTTCGGTTGTTAACTTCGTTCGTTGCAAGGTGCTGCAAGAGTCGTGTGATTCAAAAAGAGTGAGTTATAAAAGAGAGTTTGAAAGCGAGAGGCGTAACAAAACGTCGTGAAAACCGGACTTGAGAACGTTAACGTCGAGCACAAACTAGACCAGGTTCAAGTTGAACGGTTTTCGAAAGGCGCCCATTTCAATTCGAACTTGCACCAAACAAGCCCAAATAAACGCCTGCAGGTTTTCGCCACTTGAACTTCGTCTTGAAGCAATCTGGAAGGTTGCGAGTTGCAACTAAGAGACTATGGTTGATACGAGAAACTGTAGTTGAGTATAGATACACAGATGAGCATAATTTTTCCCTATTGGACTGAGCACCGCCGAACATATTGAAGAATATTGAACGAACCAAAACAGAAATAAAATCACATACGTTCAAGAGGTTTTTGGTGATGAAAAAAGGGAGAAGTAAAAATGTGACTATAGAACCGAAGTGGCCCATATCCACCATCACGACGATTAATCCGGTCATAGAGCTTCGGAAACCACCTACGACCTTCCTGCTCCGTCATTCCCTTAGGATCTTTTCGAAAACGATGTGCTGTGTAGAAGACTATATGGATGTCTATTTCTTGAATCTTTCGAAAGGGATCTCCACTGAGTAGGTTGTCAAGAGCATGCCACGGTGCGTAATCGTCCACGTTTGTGGACGGATATTGTTTAGGAAATGCAGTCGCCTCGAATTGTAATGATAGATGGACTAGATTTCCCAAATTTTCCACTGTGCCTAACAGCGAGGACATGGTCTCGCAACTAGAGATGGGAATACGAAGGACCGTCAGGTCTTTCAAATGTGGCCATGGGAGGTCCCCCTGCTGATCAACTATGAGAAAATGTAGTAAGTATATGACGGACGTGGTTCTACCATCTTTCAGCTTCGGACACAAACCTAGGTAAATGAAATAGTCGAATTCAATCTTTACAGACGATAACCGCTTTGTATTTCGCATGAAATTGCAAACGGCAGGAGCCTCAACCGCTTCAGGGCGTATGCTATTCTTGAAGCTAGATTCGGCAAGTAGCTCCACTTTCTCCAGGGAGTGCACAGTACGAGTGGAAGATAACCAGGTCGTGACATTCTGGAGGTATTTTGGTCTGAGGATTAGAATGAGTTGTTTAAAACTAAGTGCACGAGAGCGAGGAAATCGTGCAAAGCTATCTTGAGACAACCCAGTAATCCCTTCGGAAAGCCATTCGACCTCTTCCAAGTCCAGTGACTCCAGTGATGGGAAACAAGAGACGAATCGACGGAGATCCTGGAAGGTGTGGAAAATACAAGCTGACAATGAAAGATTCTTCACAGATTTGAATGAATAACCCATGATAGGAAATGAAGGATGAAATATGGGATGGAAATCATCTAGCTCCAGTGTTTCCAAGTTTGGGAGCAGACGAGAAGTTAGTTGACGAAGAATGCTGTTGATGCCCATCTTGTCGGCATAGTGAGAGGAGGGAACATCCCAATTATCATTCTGGTCGATGTCATTGCATATAGCTAAAAAGCGCGTCGAAGAACCTAGTTCTGGGGAGCTCTGTAGACTGTGTAATAGAGGGGTCGTTTGAGTGTCCCTGTAGAGATAGATGTTAGGGTATAGAATAGATCGGGTCTTGTAATGGAATGCTCGACATGTCAACGAGAGAGCATAGAGCGTGTTCCATCTAGGACCTGCGTATACACCTCCCCATCCATCAATAGGTCGTTCAGGTTGCTCTGGGAACAGACCGCAGAAATCGATGATGAGGTCAAACAGTTCCTGAGGTAAAACTCTTGGCTGCGGAAATGTTGTCCGTATACCAGAAAGTTGTTCAAATTCATCGGATGGCACCGATTGGAATTGCTGATCGAAAGGCATAGACGGCATCGTGTTAGCAAACTGGGGTGACTGGAAGAAGAGATATCTGAAAAAAGAACATAGACAGTTGTGCATGTGCAGTATATGATAGAACAAACAGATTTGTAGCTGTGATCACCCTTTGACTTTCATAGGCTGGTGGTGGTTCAATCGTAAGGCACATCGCATCACTGCACAACGGTCTGCTTGT